TATTTCATCATCCATCATTCATCAAAGTTTACAACATCAACACTTGAACTTCATTATTTGCTATCTATTGAAGTGTTCACCTAACTCTCTAATACTTAACTTGATTATATCATTTGTTAAGAGAGTTTCTTCATTGTAAAATTATCACTTATTTCTTGACGGTTTCGAGAGCCTTGTGAAAACTCGGTTGTAAGGATATGTGCTCCTTGTTGTAAGTCACCTAAGGATAAGTGCTCCTTGTTGTAAGTCACTTAAGGGTAGGTGTTATTTGTTGTAAGTCACCTAAGGATAAATGCTCCTTATTGTAAGTCACTTAAGGATTGATATTCCTTGTTGTAAGTTACCATTATAGTGCATTTGGCCTTGCTCGTGACGGAGAGCTTGGTAACGGGGGACGTAGATCATTGCATTGGATCGAACCTCCATAACATATCGTTTGTATTTTCTATCCCTTTTACTTAACGCATTTACTTCGCACTAACTTATATTGTTCTATTTACGCGTTTACTTGTGTTTAGAATATTTGCGCATTCACTATATTAGAATCTTGAGTAATTAACGAAAAAGTTTCAATAACCAATTCATCCCCTCTTGGTTAGTTATTCTTGGGCTAACACTTCGGACTATGAGGCTCTGCTTTCACATGAAGAAGCTTCGGACTATGAGGCTCGACTTTCACATGAAGGAGCTTCGGATCTAGAAGCTCTTGCTCACCTAGCCTGCGTTGGCTTACCCATTGATTTTTCAACTAGCTTTCTATTTACTTGGCTAAAAGGGAATACGTGGCCGTCCACGAGAACTACTGACACGGAACTTCCAATTATGGGGGTAACAAGAGTAATGTTACAGCTCACCTCCATGTTATAATTAATTTTGATTCACTTTAGGATTAACCTCCTCTGCCAGAAAGGAGTTGCTCACCTAAGTGACCGACCCTCACATGAAGGTGGGTCCGATGTGGGACCCGCGTGGAATAAAAAATGGAAAAAAAAAAAGCCCGGTTCTTCACTTTAACCTATTTTTGATTCACATTCACTTACTTTTATAAATTAATCAAAAATCACAAAGATTACAGATCACGGTTGAAAAAACATGTTCCATTTTTAATTCAATTTAATCCGTAGCAGGTTATAAACTCAATTAATTAAATAGACTATAGTCTTTGACTTTGATTAAATCATAAAATTCAGATCTTTATAGCAAACCCCATTGCGATTCTTGGATATGCAAAAATGGGAGTTGAGAGAATTGCAGTATTAGGGGTGGTGGTAGTGGTGACGATGGTGATGGGTGGCGCGTGGGTTCAAGCTCAGGAGGCGGCGGTGGGTCGGGAGGCGCCGTGGAGGATCCACACGCTTTTTTCTGTGGAATGTCAGAATTACTTTGATTGGCAGACGGTGGGCCTCATGCATAGCTACCGGAAGGCCCGACAGCCCGGACCCATAACCCGATTACTCAGCTGCACGGAAGAGGAGAAGAAGAGTTACAAAGGGATGGAGTTAGCACCTACCTTTGTGGTCCCCTCAATGAGCAGACACCCAAAAACTGGTGATTGGTAAGAATCCACCATTTTTAGCGTGTGCATGCATGTCTTTTTGATTGAGTACTGGGTGGCTTGTTAATCTTGGAATATAACTGCTCGTCTGAGTCTTAAAACTGATGGAATTGCTCTATGGTTTCGAGCTCATTGAGTCTTTTGAGTTCCATCTAAACAAAGGTTGATCGAACCTCTATATGTCATGTTTGGGATTCTTCTCTTTTTGTTTGTTGATGGATATGATAAGTGAAATTGTCCATGAGGTATTTGCCTTTTGAGTTACTAGTATTTTGATTACTTGAAAATTATAATGCGGGGATATGAAGATGGCATTTTCTTCTTTATCATTTTATGTTATATTTGGTTTATTGCAGGTATCCGGCAATTAATAAGCCTGCAGGCGTTGTCCACTGGCTTAAACATAGCAAAGAAGCACAAAATGTCGACTGGGTAGTAATTCTAGATGCAGACATGATCATCCGTGGTCCAATTATACCATGGGAGCTTGGAGCCGAGAAAGGCAGGCCTGTTGCTGCATATTACGGGTTAAGTCTTTTTGGCGCATTACTTTAGTGTACACGATTCGGTTGTTCTCTTGCTCATTAAAGATAGATTTCCATTCCTGTATAGCTGTATTTGTACTTTGTTGCTTATGAATGGGTTATTGAGATATATATATTGAATGCTTCAGACTAATAACTTTGAAGTGGAATATAAGTATGCGGAATAATTTCTGTCTCTTGATATATTATTGTAAGCATCTGTTGCTTATTTTTTGGCGTACTTATATGTCAGTCAGAACCAGTGGTAACTGGCAACGACACACGATACTACAAGTAAATTTCACTGTAACCAATTTACACCTAGATTTTTGATGTGTGTATGGATGAACCCGGTAACTTTTAAGCTCTGTTTCTAAGCAGCCAGGGCTTACAGGAGCTACTTCCTTCTACTCTCTTGGATTTTGGACTTGACCAGAAAAAAATAGGGCAGAAGATAAATAATTGTTATTTTTACTTGAGAAGTTAAGCTTTCTTTGTTTGGTTGTTCAAGCTTTCTTGAGAAATGACATAAATAATTGAGCTTAATTTGCTTATTTGAAAACAGAGGCCTCACATTTTGGGAACTTAGTAATAACTATAGAATGATGTTCATTCTATGAACCAATGGTTTTTCCATATAGGCTAGTTCTTCATTTACATATCCTTATGTGTTTCTAGAGTTTAGTTGCAAAGATGTTCAGCAGTTGGATGTCAAGTTGATAGGTTTATCTATATTTCTATATAGCCAAAACAGTTGTAGCTAAATTTGGTATGTAAAAGTCAATTTATTTCCGAAGCTGAGATTTTACTCAGTTTCTGTTGAAATTTTATCATTTTCTAATGTTATCCCTGAGCATATCAAGGTTTGTTTCAGTGTTCTCCAGAAAACTATTTTGTCTTCAGATTGAGGTTTGCCAGGCATCAATAAATAACTTCTTGACTTCTCTTTACTTATATTATAACAATCCTCTTCCCATGAGAATACTATTATTAAGAGTACAATTCTCCACCAGATACTTGATCGGATGTGACAATGATCTTGCTAAGTTGCACACTAAGCACCCTGAAATCTGTGACAAGGTTGGTGGGCTTTTAGCCATGCATATAGATGATCTTGGAGCTTTAGCACCTATGTGGCTGTCAAAAACAGAAGAAGTACGAGAGGACAGAGCTCATTGGGGAACCAATTATACTGGTGATATATATGGGACAGGGTGGATCAGTGAAATGTATGGATACTCATTTGGTGCAGCAGAGGTAATTGGTTAATTCTGTTTAACTTATGCTCTCTGTCCTTCCCTGTGCTCCTGAGTACATACCATTTTTGGAATTGCACCATTGGCTTCCCAACCGTTAGAAGGATTTGTTTATTGTCCTTTGTCTGTATACATATATGTATATCCCATATCTTGTTGTTTCTCTTTCAGGTAGGACTTCGCCACAAAATAAATGATAACCTGATGATTTACCCCGGATATATTCCAAGAGACGGCATTGAGCCCATTCTTATGCACTATGGCTTGTCTTTTAGTGTTGGAAATTGGTCATTCAGTAAATTAGAACACCATGAGGACAATATTGTGTACGACTGTGGGCGGCTCTTTCCTGAACCTCCTTATCCTAGAGAGGTAACTGATAATGTGCTTATTGAAACAGATGATTTGCCTATAATATGTGAACCACTTCATCTAAAAACTTAAGCTACGAGAGAGTGGACACAATTATTTTGAAGATTGAGTCTTCAATAGGCCATTTCACTTGTGGACACACACAATTTTGTGTGCTCCGATACTTTGTTGAAAACCTCATCCAAAACTAAAAGCTGAAATTGTTAGAGAAGGGACACATTATATATTTAAATTGAGTCTTCAACATAGTATTCAGTCTCATTCATTATTCTCATTCTGTTATTATTTCCTACTCAGGTGGAACTGCCGTTTGACTGTAATTAAAGCATTTCCACACCCTATCTTTGATGTAATTCTGCACTTATCTGAAAATCCTTACAGTTAAAACATGAATTTAAAATGAAAGCTTACAAGAAATGAATTTGGTTTTACCTTAAGTCAACTCCTTGATTTCAGAAATCAACTATAAAAGGATTATTGAGAAAACTAATACCATTCTCTGTGGAATGTTTCTTTTTTCTTTTTTGACCATGAGTTACTGTATTGAATCTTACTTATTGGTATTCATCAACAAACTAGTCACTAATTCTCGGTTTTAATTTGTCCAAATCAAAGCTCTTAGCATCTCTGGCTAAAAATAATGAATTTTGTTGACAGTTTGACTGTGCCTAAAACATTGAATTTTAATTACATGCTGATAATAAATTTCCATGGAGTATACTGGTGCTTGCCCAAATTTCTGACCTTGCTTTTCAGGGAAGTTTGAAAAACTTCAAATCAATTGGTAAATACTGTCCTTTATAATGTAATCGTAAATGATAGTTATGACTCATTATAATAATTCAATTTTGGTTTTGGTAAGCAATGTGACTATGCCACCCTTGCAATTTTTTGGGTCTGAACATCTTCTGCAGAGAAATAAACCAAACATAATGACAAATACTATTAGCTATTCTTATTTGTTCAGACATCAGGAAACAGAACAGGTGTTGGAATAAACACATCATAGTAACTTATGCTATGTTAGATCCATCTTTGGAACTTATGTGTATGATTCTGGAGAAGCTATTTGATTTCGTAGGATGTTTTGTTTGCAATACTAATGCTAAAGGAGAATTTGTTATCCACCAAATGCTGTACCTTGTTTATTTGTGACTATATGAGCATGTACAGCAAAGCTTAAAAGATTTAGAGCCTGTTCGAGCCCCATTTTTTTGATGAAAATGCATTTTGGAATATTATTTTGATGGAGAATGTGTTGTTAAATAATTAGGAAAAGTTTTAGGTTTGCGTGTAATATTATTTATTGAAGAATGTGTGATTGAAAATAAGAGAGAGAAAAATGTATTTTGATAAAAATGGGAACCAAACAATGGCTTGCTTATAAGTTAAAAATTAAGCAACATTTTTATTGATTGAAATTGTACGAACTTACTCTAATGGTAAGTTAAGAATCACTTTCAAAGTAAGTAACGTTTTTACTTTAAAGTAAGAAAGAAGTAACTTATTTAAACCTGTTTGAGAACTAACAGCTACCTTTACTCCTTTTAAGCTTAGCCAAACATGCTTGGTTGAGTATGATCTGAAGAGTTAGTATTTGTATCTTTTCCAAACTGAAATTTAAGATAATAATAATAATATATCGTGTACTCTTTGGTGCAGTTAAAAGGAATGGAAACAGATCCAAACAAAAGGAGATCGCTATTTCTAAATCTAGAATGTATCAATACCCTAAATGAAGGTCTTCTATTGCAACATGCAGCATATGGGTGTCCCAAGCCAAAGTGGTCAAAATACTTGAGTTTTTTGAAGAGTAAAACATTTGCTGAACTATCTCAGCCAAGATTAGCGACTCCTAAAAGTCTTCAAATGATGGAGGTTGAGCATACGCAAACACAAGAACATGCTAATGATCCTGGAACGCCATATCCAAAAATCCATACCATTTTCTCAACAGAATGCTCCCCTTACTTTGATTGGCAGACTTTGGGGCTTGTTCACAGTTTTCACCTGAGTGGCCAACCTGGAAATATCACGAGACTTCTTAGTTGTACGGAAGAAGATCTGAAGCAGTATGAAGGCCATGACTTAGCCCCCACACATTATGTTCCATCCATGAGTCGACATCCTCTAACTGGTGATTGGTAATGTCTTTTGCTTTTGCTGAAATTCTTAATCATTGTTGTCAAGTTTTGGGAGCATTGACGTATTGTTCCGAACTATGCCGCATAATTATTTTGCTGAACTATTAGTTTACTTAGCCTTGGGAGTGGAGAGGTCTAGAGAAATAATTTTAAAAGAATGAAGAACTTTTCTCCTGTCTTGTAATTTCCAGTGTCATCAATTAACAGACTGACCTCCTTCAAGGGCATCTTGCGTTCTTTAATGCACATTGTGTCTTCAAGACCAAACTATTTAGTGAAGTATCTTTCACTAAATAAAATTATGTCTAATCGCAACAAGATTGCTTAACCATAGAAACTGAAAGTGGAATGCTCAATTATTTTGGAATTTCTGACAAGGCATAGTTTCGGTGGTAATATGGGGATGTATGATTATTGAGAGAAAAGAAGCATAGTTGTGTCCTGGAGAAGATTTCGTGGGATTAGTTATCAAGCTAGAGTTGACTCTGAATTTTAAGGGTACATTCATTAAGGTGGGCTAGACAGAATTGGGCATAATTAAAGAAAGGAAACAAAATTTATTATTTTATTTAGTGTTTTCTAGAGCGGTCTAGTACCATACCAAACACACACACTCTAATGGTATGGATGGAGAGGGGAAGGAGGAGACGAGGGCGGAAATATATGATGGTGTTGGTGCAGACATGTGGCTGAAATTGGGTGGATTGTTGACGCCTTCATTTCAGGGCCATCTTCAGAAGCAATGTCATGGAAAATAAAATTGCTGGTCAAGAAGTCTCGTCTTTTTTGAATAAATTTTTCCTTGAATATTGTGGAAATTGCAAAAATGAAAATGATGAAATGAAGATATGAGATTCTTGTTTCTATTATGAAATGGAAGTAATTCTTTTTTTTTTTTTTTCTCTTTTTTTCTCTTTTGGTTTTTGAATCAAAAGCTTTTGTTTTTTCATACTTCTTAATTCCTAGTGGTAGGTGTGAGACTTGTGAAAAACAGATAGATAGCGAAGGTGAAAAGCTAGTATTTAATTTCTTTATTTTTTTTATACTTAATATTCATATGTTTCTTTTGTTAATTAAGTAGAAATAAATATCATTTCTCTGTAACCAATAGAAGATATATAAAATGTGATGATATAATATAAAGTTTGATCAATATGACAACTCTAAACAGTTGACAGATAACATGGATATGACTATTTTATTAATACCAATGAAGGAAAATTGGACATTTTCTGTGAATTAGAGTCAACTCTATGTCTTCTTGAAAGCTCACAATAATGATAAGTTCTTATCACCTGAGTGCTTGTGATATATTTTGAATGAACATGGGCACCTCTTCATGATCCTCAGAATGAAAAACATTAAAAGTAAGAATCTCATGGAAAATTCAGAGGACCCATGTTGAACATAGGATCTAATCCACATTTCCTACTCGGTTCCAAGAAAAAAGAAGGATAATTTAATTAATCTTATATAGCTCTTAATGGGGATGCAAACAAGTTGAACTATCATGCAAGCTTTTCGAACTTACCTCAAATTAGGTGTGGATCAACTTGAGTTTTATGAAGCTCGAGTTGAGCTTGAGTTGGCTGGACTACTGGGGACTCGGTAGAACCGATTTACCTCTTCTGCCTTTCTTTTGGCTGAGCTCAAGTGACTAGATTGTTGGCTGAAAATTCTTGCTTTTATTTATTAATTTTTTGTGTAATTTATGTTACTAGGTACTGATTTGTTTTAAACTTGAATAGTCCATTACGCTCATAATTTTATGTGCATTATTTCTGTTTTTATATGTTTTAACTTTTTGAAGAAAAACACCATGTTCAATTTTTTAAGGCAGGAACTGGATAAGCAACTAGAGTAAATGTTACGATAAAGAACTTGTCAACTAATAACACCTGCATTTTGTTTGTGGCATTTCAGGTATCCAGCAATTAATAAGCCAGCTGCAGTTCTTCATTGGCTCAACCATGCAAAAATAGATGCAGAGTATATAGTAATCCTTGATGCTGACATGATAATGAGAGGTCCGATTACACCATGGGAATTCAAGGCAGCCCGTGGAAGACCTGTTTCCACTCCCTATGAGTAAGAAAAAAGAACTTTAAAGAGCATGTTTGGCTAAGCTGAAAAAATTACAAGCAAATCAGTAACCTTTAAAATAAATCTTTTTTTAATTGGTCAAAATTTGTAAAAGTAAGTTGTCTCGAGTGTAAGGGAAGAATTGTCTTCAAAGTAAATAAACTTTTTTTTATTTAAAAGTAAGAAAAAAATGAGTTATCCAAACACGTTTTATTATCTCTTTCGTTTCTGTGTAAGAGTATCTAACAAATAATTCGCAATTTGGATGCATCTTCTTGTTAACTGAATCAGGAAATATGTGTTCTAATCACTCTATTTGTTATATTCATTCCAGCTACTTGATTGGCTGTGACAATGAGCTTGCAAAGATGCACACCAGTCATCCGGATGCTTGCAACAAGGTTGGTGGTGTGATCATAATGCATATAAATGACCTCAGAAGATTTGCTTTGCTGTGGTTGCATAAAACCGAGGAGGTCCGGGCTGACACAGCTCATTGGTCAAGAAACATAACTGGGGATGTGTATGAAGCTGGATGGATCAGTGAGATGTATGGTTACTCGTTTGGCGCAGCAGAGGTATTTCAGAACTGATTAAAGTGTTAAACACTTTCTATCTCATTTGAATTTGCAGAATAGCTGAGGGAATAGATTAATATATTGCCCAATGTTTTTATACATGCATTGAGTTTCCGATGCTTGACATCCATTTCTATTGAGTACAGCAGCATGTTGAAACATAACATTCAAATTATGTGTTTTTTTTTTTTTTTTAAATTTCCATGCAGCTGAATTTGCGTCACGTCATTAGCAACGAAATTTTGATATATCCGGGATATGTTCCTGCACCTGGTGTGAAGTATAGAGTATTTCACTATGGCTTGGAATTTAGTGTTGGAAACTGGAGCTTTGATAAAGCAAACTGGAGAAGCGCTGATTTGGTTAACAAATGCTGGGCTAAGTTTCCCGATCCTCCCGATCCATCAACCCTTGATCAAACCGATGAGAATGCATTACAGCGTGATTTGCTCAGCATAGAATGTGGAACTGCACTGAATGAAGCTTTACGCCTACATCACAAGAAGAAGGAATGCCCTGATCCCACTTCCATCTCCACTCCAATTCGAGAGAGTCCTGATTCCATATCCTTGTCTCCTCCTAATCAAGAAACAGCCAGTGAGGTTACGACTTCAAGGAAATTTGGAAAGATGGAGGAAATTAGTACCTTAATTCGCAGTCCTGATCTAAAGAATGAATCTCAGGAATCATCGCCGCCAGCTATGGGAAATGAAACGTTCACTTCCATGAGATTTTGGATAATTGGCCTTTGGGCATTTTCAATCTTTGTATTTGTCACAGTAATGTCGTTGATGCTTTCCAGTCGCAAGGGGCAGAAAAAAAAAGGTAAAAGTTTTAAGACCAAGAGACGAGCCTCGCATTCAGGAATCTGGGATACGATTGGAAATGATAGGCATCTCCGAAGCACTGAAACAGCATAACATGAAAGAGAAATTGCACCTGAAATTCCGGTGCTGGTATATATTAATTGCCCAAAATATGATGAAAAACGTCGTAACCAAGTAGTCAGTGTAGCATACTAAACCCGAAGTGGGTTGAGAATTCTATATCCCGTTTCTTAAGGTGTATGAGGAAATTTTTGCTTTGTTGGATCTTGTAGTTGTGTCCTCTGAATCCGGAACAGTTTCTTGGCGGAGCATAATGGAATTCAAAATTACAGGCGAAGGCTGATCTCTTGGAGTTGAACTTTCCCCTTGATTAACTGTTAGTTTTGTCCATGTTTGATGTTAGATGTTTATTTTGAGGTTTAGCATACGGCATATGGACCACTGAACTGATTTTTTCCTTGAGGGCAGATTGAAAACAATAAACTGCTTGTTGAAAAATGCTTTATTGTTTATTTCAGAATCCATAAATATTTCTTTATTTTGTTCTGTAACTCTTTCTGTAGTGCAAGTACATATACATGTCATAATTCCAGAATCTTTCTCGGCTTCTCTCTTCCAAAATGTAAACTTGAAATGTGCCAGATATACAGCAAAACAAACATTAATGAGAGAACTCGGGTAGCCAATTCAACTCCAATAGTATTGAAGCTTTAGAGTGGAAGTCTTGACTTTTTACCGTTGGAGCGATGACAGCTTGTTTTACAGCAGAAGGTTTCTACAGTGCATCTCTTGAATTCTAGATGAACTAAACACAATTTGAGTATGAGTTATGCTTTGCGCCAGGTCAGTCTAGCCGAGCATATTGTTGTGTTGGCTTCTTTGTACATCAAACCTATCTCCCCTAGTGTTATTGACTTGTGTCTGGTGCACTTTCGAGTTGAGCATCATACTGTTGTGTTGGCTTATTTTTAGCTGCCCAGCTTCACCGAAATAACATGAGCCTCGGCCTGCCCTTCATGCGGCTCAAACTATGTTCCTTTAGCTCCACAATACTTGGTGACTCAGTGGCTCTTTTCTTGTGGGCGCATATCATTCCAAGTCATATAATGAGTATAACAGTAACAGAGATTTTTTTTGCAAAAAGTCTATCCTGCTTCTAGACATAATATACGAGAAATGCCACAGATAATAGAAAATTACTGTACAGAACACTTGTTCTCCAAAATGCATATTAACCAAGTTAGTTTCACAGGCAAATCTTACATGTAGAACTCAAAAAGACTGCTCCATAACTATAATTAATTTCAACATGACATTTGAAGTACATGGGGCAATTAAGCAGGTACGTAATACAATTCAACTGTGTCATGCTACAGTACAACCGACTTGGTTACATCTCTTCAAGCTACAACTGACTTGGGCACATCGCATTACGGGTCCAACGCTTCAAGACATATCAATTAGGTACTATCTTTATACAATCAAGCACTTTTATCGCATGGCTACACAAAATTCCAACAAGCTGAAGCTTCATACAAGAACAGGCAACTGAATCATCGGCTGAGCAATATAAAACTGTATACTGTCGAAGTTGGCCATAAGTATTGAATTGATATTCACACGATGATGCAGTATCAACACGTTGGTTCATGACGAGATTTAGACTATTTTCATATTCTTGCGGAAACAATTCAAAAATGTTCGGTGTGTATACATCCTTTTGCTGTTTCAGCATTACCACGTCCCCCAGTAGTATTGGCATGTATTGACTCATACGGTAATTTGCTTCTTATTCCCTGAAACGCAAGTCAATCACCATCCTCCCAAAGTGCTCGAAAAATTGAAGAAATGTGATTCAGGCTTAAGGTACTTCTCCATTGTAGCAATGGAATCCTCAGAGAGTCTAGAAGTTTCTGTCAGCCGAGAATATATGCTTATCATACGGTAAAGCCCATTTCTCTATTTTTTCAAATTTCTCGTGCAACCACTCGTTTTCCCAAAGACCATACGTATCCAACATAACCTTCCAGGAATTAACGAAATCTTCCTCATCCTGATTAAAAATATAAATGCACAAGTCTTTACAAAAGAATCTGACCTGACAGTTACTTCCCTCAAATATTCAAGTGCATTCTGGTATGGATGCCATATGCAGTACTGGTAGCTTGTTTCTGGAAATTCAGATATGATGGCTTTAGAAATGGCAGCATCTTGATCTGAGAGTATTGCCTTTGGCTTTTTCCCCGACACCACTCTAGTGGAAGTTCAAAATAGCCAATTAAAAGATTCAATAGTGTCATCATAGAGAAATGCAGCACTAAAGACCAGCATTTGCTTATGATTGTTCTCCCACCCCTCCCCCCCAAAAAAATAAATAAATAAAGTGCTGAAGGCCACCATTCTTTGTTTACATAATATGTTGTATCAAAGCAATCACGTTGCCAAAATCACTATAGTTCGTCATCGTCTTCTTATCAGCCCAAAAAAAGTTGGTAATTTGCTCTTCAGCATCGAGTTGTACAGCACAAAGAAATGATGGATCCTTTAATTTCTTATTCTGAAATTACTGACAAATACGTACTGCTTCTTCCAGATTTATTCTTCTACAACGTTTTGACGGGAGCACAGTTTCATGGTCTATGGGATCATAACTGAAACTGCCTTGCTCCTCCTAATAACAACTCGGCAAATGATTTTGGCTGCAAGTTAGAGCTCCAATGCACTGGATTCAACAGCTTGATTAGTAGCAAACCTCTTCTGAGATCGTAACATGTGAACTTCACATGAACGTACCAGCTCATGATTGTGATGTTCTACAAATTGAGTGACACAATACTTACCATCAGCTTGACGAGAAACAAGCAATTGTGTCATGCAACCAACTCTAGTTTCCTTTCAAGGTCGCTTCACCTTCAAGCCCCTTTCGTCTTTCTGCTGAAAACCATCGCTAAAACAATTATATCTCCTAGATGCCACAGTAACATCTACTTTGCTACTGTTGACATAATACCTCCGAAAACTAAAATCTAGTCTCTCTGTACATGCATTATAGAACTCATAGCATTGTCATCCGAGTCAAACCACATACCCAGCATCGGTACCTAATCCAACGTAGAGTTACCAGCAGATTCTGCTTCAAAGGCCTTGACGAAAGATATTCTCTTTTGTGATGGTAATAGATGAGCTGTTACTGATGTTGCAAACTCCTGATTGTGTTATGATTCGAAATGAATGACTCGATATTTTCCATTAGGTTGTCATGTAATGGACATATGTGCCAGACTATCAGTTCTTGTATCCTTTCGGAGGTTATTTGATTTTAAATCACTCTTAGCAGATCCATTGTCTTGCCTATAACATGTATACCTTCTTGATACCACCAGCCCTGTAATATTACTTCTATTTATAGTCTTTCTGGATGCTGAAACCTTCCATGAGAGCACGAGAGGATATCTATTATAACATTTATAGGCATGGTCTTCTGATTCAAACACCACGCCAAGTTTTGGCACAAGATACGCACAAGCTTCATCTTTTACACCTTGAACAGTTTCAGAGGAGGCCCTGGATGGAGCCTCAACATCAATTCCTGGCTGGTTCACAGAGCAGATATGAGGACTGATTTTTATTCCTGCCATCAACATCATCTGTTAATCCATTGTTGTCGATAAAGGAACCATTCTGGCTAGTGAAATCATGTTCATGATCAGTATCAACTTCATTCTTGTCCCATGAAGCATTGAAGCAGCTATATGTACTCTCACTGTCCCGCCAGCAGAGGAAACTTCTAGGCTCGGAGACATTTCTCCACTGTCAACAGTCAACCCAGTCTCAGGAGGAGAGGAAAATTTATGAGTCTCGTGCATCTGTTTCATATTAGCATCTATTGCATAGGACCCATCATCTTTCTCTCCAAAGCCTCTTCAGAAGAGCTCATCACTTTCGCACCCTCACCAGTGTCAATGTAACTTCATTCCAAGGAAAAATCTGCACAGTATTAAAGATTAAATCATTATTATGCACATCATACAAATTACGGGCACAGCCAGAAAAAACTCCCCAAGCACTCATGAGATGATATTTACCATTTTGTTCCCCGAGCACAGTATGAAGCTAATATAGTAATATATTCTAGGCTTTTTAAATTTATAACATCATTTTATATAATGAAGTAATTTCTAGCTAGAATTTATATCTTCCAAAAAATTGCACCAATTTTCCCTAAAACCGACAAGAAGCGTTGGAAGTGTCGATTGTTTCAGCAGTTTTAAGTACCATTTCATCAAAGTGAACCTAACCCCAGAAAGGAAATTCTTAGTTTCCGAGATTCACATCATTTACTCGCCAAAATCATTAACAAACTCTAATAATCCAGCAAATATCAAAACCCTAAACACAAAAATAAATCATATTAGTAAATATTAGGACACAAAGAAGCAAAATAAAATTCACAAACCAAATGTACGAAGATTCACGCAAAAATCACGTATCGGGTATAGATACACTGCAGTTGATGTTTTAAAATTCTAGCCTTTCTCCTCAACTGAAATTCCCAAAAAAAAAAATAATAACTTTTTTATTCTCTATTTCGTTAAATAGTGATACAAGCTTCCACATTTACTGACAGAGAGAAAAAAGAACCTTGATCAAATAGTTATCGGAACGACGGCGATTCGATGTCCGAATTCCGATAGCGGGGAAATAGTGGGTAAATTAGCCCGGTCCGTGGGGTATTTTCCAAACTAGGCGGGTATATTAGATGCATTTAGATTTTTGTGAAAATGTCTGTTTTACCCTTAATGAAATATAGTTTGTTTATTGCAAAGTATATCCTTTCTTTATAAATAATTTTGACAATTGTTATGTTATATTTTTATAATTTCAACTCTATCTACCAACTCTATCATTTGATCTACTAGATTGGCATAATCTTTAATCTTTTGTTCATATTCTTTTA